GACTCTGAGAGGTAGAGTTCCGGAAATGACGCACACTGCTTCCTCAGATGTTGTGCGGAAGGCGCAAGCTACTCTTAGGGCACTCCGACGATATACTGGTCCAGCCTTTCTTCATGCTTCTTGTAATTCTAGCGCATCAGCTCAAATCGATATTCCGTACGTAAGCACTGATGTGTCTACAGTTGCCAACAATAGTCTTCTACTTTGCTTTGGGCCTCCGACGTTAGGCATCAATCGTGCGAGACTTGCCCTTACTACTGATGCTTTGGCACTGACGTGTTCCACTTGTTGTTTAAAGTTGAGACGGGCATCAAGCATCACTCCCAATTATCGGATATAAGGTTGTGATGTGATTTCTTGTTCGCCGACTTTAAGCTTGATGGTCTCTAACGCTTTTCTGCTGGTAATAAGCACTGCCTCAGTCTTATGTTTCGCCAGTTGAAGATTCATTGTGTCCATCCACTGGTTAACTTGCTGGAATGCTAGATCAAACATGTGGTGAATCTCGTCCAGGTGTTTCGCGACAATCACTACGGCCACGTCGTCCGCATATGTGTGTGTGTGTGTGTGTGTGTGTGTGTGTGTGTGTGTGTGTGTGTGTGTGTGTGTGTGTGTGTGTGTGTGTGTATGTATGTATGTATTCAGAAGTTATCGTAGTTTGAAAATTCTAGAAATGGTATTGTATCTACCCCTTATCAGACTTTTGAGCTCAAAGAGCTAAAAATCATAAAAAAAGCTATCTTTATGAGCTCAGAGAGCTCAAAATAACACAAAAATTATATTTCTGAGCTTGAAGAGTTGGAATCAGTGGAATTTTCGGCTATTAGATATGGACTTAGCGGGGAGTTGCAGGGATGGCTTTTAGGGCCAACCGTCTTCCTAATTTTTTTTTTTTGGTTTGGAATTTTATAAAATTTCAAATGCATTATTTTAATCTCGGAGTATGAACATGAACTATAAAGAATTAAATTAGATTATTCTTACCACTTAAACAGATTTGTACCATATTCACCGCAAGTACAAGGATAATACAAATATTGAATGAATCTTCCAAATCTTTTGCAAACTGTATCAATTGATTGTGCCTGCTTACAAGAGCGCCTAATGTTTTCGTGTATTTTCGTTCAGTAGATTCAATACTCAAAGTTTGAAATTGTTCTCCTAGCCATTCGAGTTGTCCAGCGACATGTAAAGTGATTCCAAAAAAGTAACAATCGCTTCCCACGTTACCGGTGCATGTCGATAAAATTTGGATTGCTTGGAGAATATATATTGCAGCATATGTATGTGATGACATTTCATTAAATAAACATCCAGTTTGCAAAGGCAGAGGTTGAAATTTAGGAACAGAGGAATTGCTCGTCATATTGGCATCAATAGGCATGTCATATATAGCGAGGAATGCTAATGGCCCCATAATAAAAATGACAGCTGTCATGTAAGCAGAAATCATTTGAAAAAGGCAAACAAAGCGAGCCAATTTTGCATTCTTTCTCATAATTTTAGAAGCTTTTGGATCTAGTATCGTCGTCCAGTCATTTATACTCGATGAAATAATTGTGAGAAATTTTCCGTTATTAATTCTGAGCGTTGCTAATTTTACTATTACAATAAAACAACAAGTTGATAGGGAATACATTTGCGTAATATCATGCACTGCACCACAGTTAAGGCTAGTTTCAAATAAAATGCTGACTGCCATTGTTATCTGTTAAGAAAATCATAAGGCTGTTAGAAATAATAACGATTAAATAGATTATCGAAAGAAATTGCTTCTCAAGAACTTTGAAATTTAAGAATGCAAAAATAAATTTTTCACTGTCCTAAGAATTTAACATTTTTAACATGGCGCGCAGTAGCCTATCGGGACCGGTTTGCTACCACAGCACTGGACCGGGTTCGAGCCCAGCGTACATTAATGAATATTTTCAATATCTAAGTGTATTACTCTGCTCAGCCCAAAAAAATAAAACGAGTCCATCCACAAGAAGTTTTCTCCCTACTGTAGTCGCTCATGACCTTAGTAGTTTATGTTTAAACAAATAAATAAAAAAAAAAAAAAAAATATTTTTAACTTACCGCTATGAAAATCAAAAATTTTTATGAATTGAAAAGTTACTGTCGTTTTCAACTCAATTTTCGACAATCGAGTTTCCATCAGATATTCACATTTTGAGATCCAAAGAAGCTATACTGAGGAAAAAATTTTTTTTTACAAAATCAGCATTGTTGTGACAAAAAAAATTAATTTATTGAAAATTTTAGACAATTTTATTTTTTAGCTGAGGAAATCAAAATTTTTCTTACAGTGACTTCCTTGTTGAGAGAAAGTTTTTTAGATTTAGAAAAAACGATTTTAGATGAAAATTTTCTAGTTGTTTATCTAAAATTATTATTTTTCTAAATCAAAATAGTATATTACATACCTAGGCCAGTAAAATAAGAAAAGTCTCAGATCACATGTAATTGTTGGCCGAGGCGAAGCCGAGGTTGACAAACATGTGATCTGAGGTTTTACTTTTTACTGGCAAAGGTGTGTATACTATTTTTCTGCTCGACGTAGCCGGAATGTGGCAACTTTGTTTAGCGCAGCGGCCAGAAAAAAAATTTTTTTTCAACAAGAAAGTTACTGTAAGAAAAATTTTGATTTTTTGTGCTGTGGAATAAAATTGTTTTTTCAACAAATTAATTTCCAGTCATAACAATACCCATTTCTTTCAAGAGAAATTTTTTTCTCAGTGTACACTGACATATTTCTAGAATACCTTCCATTTTCGAAAATTATTGATTTTCATCGCAGAAAGTTAACAAGAAGTTGATCCTAGTGAAAAAATTTTGATTCAAGAAGATCATTATTCACATAATTATTAACATATTCAGAGTTTCATCATCTTAAATCAGACAGAAAAACTTTTATGTTAAGTCAAATTTTCTTAAAACCAAAAACAATTCCTTAATTAAAAAATTTTTCTGCTTGATTTAAAGTGATGAAACTCTTGAAAATGATCCTTTGAATGAAGATTATTTTCAGATCTATTAGTTGGTGGTATTTCATAGAGCTTATAAGCTATTAATGTGAGCATTCATTTCAATAAAGACTTTTTTTTTAACAAGAAATATAATTGTTAATATACTGTTACTATTTACAGTAAAACAGTTACACACGCGCATATATTTTTAATAAAATTTTTCCAATTATTACGTACTATTTATTATGAATTTTCAATGAATGTGCAACGAGCACTGTAGAGAAGCGAATTTATTTACAGAGCCCGTTTTATCAAAAATTGAATGATTTTTGTTTCCATCGAACTCGAAAAAATTCATAAATAATAAAAAATATGTAATCGTATTGATTATAAATTATTATTTCATATGTTACCAAAAAAAAATTTCCTTTTATATTATCTTATGTCACTCTGTAAAACAAATTTTTCTTAAATATTAAATCAAAATAATAACCTCGAGAATAATAACAATCAGTGTTTGTATTATTGATAGGATTGATTGACAGTCGAATGGCCAAATCCCAAGACTTTTTGTAATAAGTTTATAAAGACCAAAAGCATATTGAGTATTGCTATTCCAGTTTATATTTTTTGTCGTTGCCATCGTAACTATAAATATAGTTCAATAGCCTTTCTCGAACGCAGACTATTTTTATTCTTCATAAAGTTTATATCCTGAAGTTTTACTGCGACTAAATTTAGAATAAAGTTTTTTCGCGAATACATATATAAAGAAAATTTCTAGAGAAAAGGATCATATTGAATTCATAAACTTTTTTATTCAACTTTTTCATGATTAATTTATGATATAGAAGCATGCAAAGATAAGCTTGTATAAAAAGAAGAAAGGATTCGATATCAGTGATTGATTTTCAGGTCAGTCCACATGCAACCAACGGAAGAGTTACATCAAAAAAAGTGCTGGGCTTACAATGGGTTTGAAATATATACGGTAATATAGTTCTATATTAAGCTTTTTAAATAAGTGAGACATATTAAGTTAGTATCTATACATTATTTCAGAAACTAACTATTTTCGAATTAATAAATTCTGCAATTAGTGAATTGTTTTTAGAAAAGACATTTGGATTTTAAGATTTCAACACAAAATTTATCTTGCAGATTTTTTCGCAGCAAGTATTAATGCAAAAAGATTTTGATTGCACTGATCTGCCATTTTTTCTGAATTTAACATTCAGTTCCGAAGTGAATCTACACAAACAGTAAAAACTTTAAAGCTCTATGATGGAAGTGAATAGAACTGTGGAGTTAAAACAAAAATGATGTAATAGTCATGAGTCATGACTCATGACATAATTATTAGCATTCAAAGTTTATGTTGATTATTTGATTTTTGGGAAAATCATAATTTTAAGTCTAAATAAATATAATGAAAATCGTACCCAATTTGCCATACGATACTTTATTTGTGTACGTTTTTCTCGATAAAAATTTAATTAATTAACTGATACTATTTTTTTGCAGCTTTTTCTAGATCTACAATTGTTTGAAATATGTCCAAGTTTGAGGATTTAAATTTATACGATACAATGGATAAAGTGATAAATAAAAGTCTGTTATTTTTCAAGAAGAAAACAGATTTGTTAAGCTCTTTGCTGATGATCATGGCACTTATTGAACAAAACTACATATAGGTCGACAGAATTTGGAATATTATTTGTTTTTATTGACCATTTTAAACTATTATTTGAGATTTTGTATTCTTTTTACTATATTTTGAAAATAGCTTACTCTTTAAAGTTTTTTTATTGTTAGGTTTAGATTCACCTGTAGTTTTTTCAGTCTTCTTAGGCAACGAAGCAGCCTGGAAACCAGTAGGTGTTGAAGACGACGCAACCTTTGACGATGGCAACATCAGACACTTCAAGCATTCAGTAGTCAAATATTTAATAATCGCAATTTAATGAGCTCCAGAACAATCAAAAACAGATATCAGTAAATTCGACTCTAATTTTCGATCAGGCTTTCCCATGTTTCTCTTTTGCTTTTCTTTGCTTGATGCTATGAGACATCACGTTACCTTTTGATAATCCTGAAATTTTGAAAAATATGTCATAATAAAGCAATAAATGAATGGTATGATTTATGGATTAAAAAAATTACTTGATAATAATTAATTTATTTTTGACAGACATCAAATCAAGCTCACATCAGATCTCGACGTTTTGAGGGCCTAGAAACTTATTCTGACTAATTTCAAGATGACGTCAACCCCATGGAAATAATATATATTTTGGATATATTAAAAATATTTTTAACTCGTTATCATCTTTTCGGTCATTATTATGCTAGTATAAATTTAATTCAAGTGGATGAAAATTTCCACTAGTAAAGGGTTAGTCATCGATTTATGTTTATTATCCTACGATAGTGGAACATGCACAGCTTGAACCTCTTGATGAAGGAATCTTGGTCGACGCGTACCTCTTCAGCGAAAGGAATGAAGGTTTGGATTTCTCGTAGCTCTTCGGGTGTTTTAAAGTACTTGTAGTCCAAGGCGATGTTGTAATTTTCACTGGACATCGAAAAAGTGGCGCGAGGTGTGTTAAAATTGTTACAGTCACGGAAGTTTGACTGGAGCACCACTAGCTGGGTCTTTATCCACCTGATCACTCCTATGACTACTGGGTCATGGACCAGAACACACATAATATTCATAACCAGAACGTAGTATTTGATCGCGTAGATTATTTTAAACATGGGGAATGGTGTCTCGTTAAAGGGAAAAACAGCTCAGATCGGCAGAATTCACGTTCTCAGGATTGACTTTATCGAGACCAATCAGGACAAACAAACAGCCGTAGCTGCGAATATAAACATCGAGAAGTCAAAGTTTTGGTAGATTGTCGCTACCTGGATCTCGGTTATTAGGGTAGGGCGGGGCTAGTTGATCGTAGGGGCAAGTTGTGCAATCGAAATATCGAAAACTAAGCAACTTACAACAAAAGTGTATGTAAATGGTTGAAAGAAAGGGTTATGAGAAGAGAACACATCGCGCGAAAGTTAACTGCCGTCCGATGTTTAGACTAACTGACAAAACGTTTTCTTTTTTTTTTTTGCGTCAATAAAAAAAACAGGTCTTTAAGATAAAATTTTTCTCCTACACTCGCTTAAAAATACTATTTCGAGATCACGAAAGTATTCAAAGATGACTTAATGTTTGCCCTTTCGATTATATATGATTGTTTATTTTTTATTCTTATCATTCTTTTATAATCTAACTTTTATTTTGTTGCCTCAATGGGGGCTAGTTGAGCAAGGCGCTGACTGCGTGTTAAACCAACCCTACTAGATTTTCAATATTGAAAAATGGAATTTTCCTTCACTAAATTAATAATTATCAATTGATTTGTGCATGTGATAATTTAATATAATGTGTAAAAATGAAAATAACTCATATTGAAATTATATTAATAAATATATAACATAATTATAATTAATATTGTTATGTTTATAATTATTATTATAATCATAATTATACGTATGTTGAATTATAATAAATTAAATGTTTGCTTGTTAATTACAATTTTATTTTGTTTTCATATCATTCTATACAGTCATTCCGTCTACTTTAGCCATTGCACAACTAGCCTCATACCCATGCTCCACTAGCCTCACTAGTGGGGCACGTTGAGTAATTTGGAGCGCTCGTGTATTTCCGGGAATAACTTGAAAATTTGGACTCGGATCGTTCTTGTGTCGCTAGGCCTTTTGAAGAAGACTAAATTACAAACCTAACAGTATATGACTAGATTAAATCCGATACATCGTCTTAAAAGTATGGAAGGTCAAACCAAAAAGTGATCAACTAGCCCCGCCCTACCCTACTCCTAAATCTGTGGGTATTATTAGTTATTATTCATTATTTACACTGATAGATGAGTTTGCTAATATTCATTAAATGTTAATAACCAGATCATCGTACTTGCCAGATGAGTACTTAAGCTTTTTGATGGGACCATGGACCTTATTGATAAGCTCAAAAAAGGCCTTCTGATTTCTGTAGACTACCAAGCCTTTTAAACTAGTAGCTATATACGGAAGTATGTACCCCAAATTGCAAGAAACTTCGTGAAGCTTGTCAATATTGTAGAAAAAGTTTGCGGTACTTCGTATTATCATCAATGCGGTAATGCTTCAGTTTATTATCCTCATCATGATTCCTTTCAAGTATACTAACAGCGGCTGCCGTAGAATCTCTATCAATCCGAGAAACTTTTACCCAAGATTTGCATTAGAATAAGTACAGTTATATACAATAGTATTCAAGGATTAGTTTATTTTTTCCATTACCTCCCAAGCCAGAAACTGATGGACAAAGTCTGATTGTGAGTCACAATCGGAGTTTTCTTCATCGTCGTTATGTAAAAAAAATACCAACGTTTGATTTTTGTTCAAGATTTATCGCCGTGGGTTTTTGTTTTAGTTCTTTTACACTTGAAGTTGAATAAAACTAGCAAAATCTTTTAATAACCAAACAGTAGCCGGTAAAATATTATCAGTAAAGCAAGAAAAATTGCTGAATGCAAATTAAAGCAATTTTTTTGATTGAACAGATTTTATTTCTAGTTCGCTTTAATTTAAGCATAATTATTATTTTTTTTAGTGTTGAATGATAATGATTATTTACAAAAAATTATGAATTTATTAATTCTAAATTATGCGGTTTGCAAGATTAGGAATAGTCAAATGGTATTTTAAATTGATAAAAGCCTTTTCACTACGAGTTATTCATAGAGCCATTGTCATGTTTTCATTCTTCGCTATGATCGTTAATATAATGAAAAATATGAAGAATGTGCTATTTGTCAGTGATATTATTGGATATGTTCCGCTAATAGCGGTGAGATTATATCAAAAATTAATTTTATTTATGCATCAAGGAAAAAAATAAATAAACTGTGGTCTCAATTCTTAATCCCTTAAAAAATTTAAATTTTTATCTGGTAAGATAATAATTTTAACAGTATTTTTCTTGCAACAGCTTGACTAGAAATTCACTTTTTATGTATTAACCCATCAGTACTCATTCTGAGATTTTATTCTCTCACAACACTCAATTTTTTAGATGTCACTGCAGTTCAAATGACACACACACACTAAAAAACACGCAAGTGCTGATGGGTTAATTAAATAGTGATCTTGAAGTAATAATAGTTATTAACAGTTAGAAATCTAAGGAAAATGAGGTCGAAATCAGTTGGTTCGTTTGTGAGTTTTTTTTGGTCTAATCAATTTGTAGTTAAAAGGAAAACATAGTGTAAAATGCTGAAAGAGCGGAAAAACTAAGGATCAGGTTTCGGTCTGGTTATCTCAATTAAAATACAAAAATTATTATTAAGAATATCACTAGAGATTTATTTACTATAAATACACTCAATATTTAATATATTCAATAGCGGATTGATAAGAAAAAAGCGGATTTATAAAACACAGCGTGGATATCAATGCGAAGCCGGTCAGCACGTGGTTGAGCAAATTGCCGGCACTGTAAAAAACGGTGAAACAAAAGCAAATAAACACAATTTATCTGAAACAAACTGAAGCGAAATATTAGCGGTTAATTTAAGCAATTTAAATTATAAAAATAGCGAAATGCGTTTAGTTAACGATGAGCGAAATAAAATAGCGGGAAAGCGAAGCGTTAGACTTAATGGCGGAGAAGCGAGAGCTAATAATAATAATTCGTCTTCTTCCTCATCTTGGAGAAGAAGGCTACTGCGCATGTCTAACGAGAGCGATAGTCAATCAATAAATTCGTTCTATTGATGTCGACATCGATAGCCAATGGTAAAATTCGATACCTGTGGCGTGATCAGTCAGGTGGTTTTACGCATGCGGGTGAGAAATAGCGGGAACGATGGCTTGTCAGGTGCGTGTTGTAAATTTGGGGAGCCCACAGTGACGTATTGCTCACTGAGTGGGCCTGTTCACCGAACACATAGGGTTCGAAAAATTTAGTCAAATGTTGCCAACCATGCAATAATCGGTTTATTTATTCAAAAGTAATTGCAATTGTTTGGAAATTTGAAAAGTAGTGTTTTATAAATCCTCTATCAAACTTTTGAGCTCGAAGAGCTCAAAAACGTCATAAGTGCAATTTAAGTATGGAATTAGCGGGAAGTTGCAGGGATGTCCTTTAGGGTCAACAGTTTTCCTAATTTTTTAACTAGCAGTCATATCAGTTTCAATAATTATATGACTCAAAAAGTAGTCGTACCATCAAAAAAATTAGGAGAACGGTTGACCCTGAAGGCCATCTCTGCAACTTCCCGCTAATTCCATACCTAGGCGCTTAAAATGGCACTAATGACGTGTTTGAGCTCTTCGAACTCAAAAGTTTGATAAAAGTTTAATGAAACAATATTCTCAAAATTTTGAAACTGCAATTACTTTTGAATGAATCAACCGATTTTCACGCGGCTCGCTACATTCCACGCAATTTTTTGAATTCTATGATTTACTACTAAACACGAATTGATCTAACCAAAAATTTCGGAGGGATTAGAAAAATCCACTTTTTCCGAATTTTTTCAACAACGATAACTCACGAATCAATAAACCGATTTTGACGATCTTGGAGAAGATCGACATGGTTTTTTAGGTCTTATAGCACGCGATCAAAATCGGTTAATTCGTTCGTGAGATATCGTGAACGAAAAGTTTGGGAAAAAGTGTTTTTCTTACATAACTCCGACACTTTTTCTTGGATTGTTGTTGATTTCAGAAAATAATTTTTAGAGCTCAAAAAACCAGGTCGATCGCCGTCAAAATTGTAAAAATCGGTTGATTCGTTCGAGAGATATCGTTGACGAAAAAGTTTGGAAAATCCAAAAGTGCACGCCTCATAACGCTCATTCATTTTTTAAGAAAAAAATTAATTGTGTAATTGATTAAAAAAAAAATCTGGAAAATGGTTAACCCTAAGGCCATCCCTGCAACTTCCCGCTAATTCCATATCTAAGCGCTTAAAACTCTTTGAGCTCAAAAATATAATTTGTATATTATTTTGAGCTCTCTGAGCTCATAGAGTTAGCTGTTCTAAGCTTTTGAGCTCGGAGAGCTCAAAAGTCTGATGGAAGTTTAATGAAACAGTATTTTTTAAATTTTCAAACTGCAATAATTTTTGAATGAATTAACTGATTTTCACACAGTTGGCAGTATTCCATACAATTTTTTCAATTCTATAATATACTTTTAGACACAAACTGATCGAACCGAAAATCTTAGAGAAATTCAAAAAATTCACTTTTTCCGAATTTTTTTGACAACGATAACTCACGAACCAATCAACCGATTTTCACGTTCTTGGTGGCGATCAACGTGTTTTTTTTGGGCTCTAATAATTATTTTATTTCTTCAAAAACGATCCAAAGAGAAATGTCAAAGTTATGTGAAAAAACACTTTTTTCGAAATTTTTCGTTTTTGATAACTTTTGAACGAATCAACCGATTTTGACGGGACTGGTGGCAATCGACGTGGTTTATTGAACTTAAGAGCGGATTAGTTTTTGGAGTAAATCGATAAAGCCGTTTAAAAGTTATTCCAAAAAAACGATGTTTTGAAAATTTTATTTTTGAGATTTCTCAAAATCTAGCGAACCGAATCAATTCAAATTTTTACGAAATTCAATAGCAATGATACTCTTTGGATCGCCACCTATTTCGATCCGATTGGCCGAGCCGTTCAAAAGTTATGAGAAGCTTACATACATACACACATACACACACACACATATACACACACACACACACACACACACCTGCGGCAGAGGAGAAACTGCTACCAGGCGCGTCTCCCCGTAGCGGATGGGTTGACACTCGCTGTCCTTGGATGACACTTGGATAATCTCTCAGTTGATGAGGTACAGCGGGTAGGAGCCAAGCAAAATAACCAAACAAAATACGCTCCCGTGCACAAAACTCCTCTTTAATGGGTTGGTCACACTAACTGACCTAACAAAACGATCGGTCCCTGCTGTAACTCACTGGGAGTGTCCGGAACCTATATCTTAGTTTCCGACGATGCAGGCCACGGCTGATGTGAGCTTGCTCTGCCGAGGTATAAGTTGCAGCAGTGGATCAGGAGCCAGTAACTTCGGGCCTTGAACAGGAAGTATGCAGTGAGTGTCAGAGATCGGAATCTTCAACGCCCCGAGCGAGTCTAGTCCGTCCGTGTATTCCAGGACTGGCTAAGTGTCGGCTAGGCCTCAGAGAACTGGGGTAGGAGTACTATCTCCGAGGGTACACCCGCTCCTAGGTATGACAACCCGCTCCACTCCGTACGATGCACTGGTAAA